CAATTCAGATTCAGTTCTAAATAATTCAAATTCAGTTTCTACTGGTGTCAGAGTGCGCTGAGTGAGTGAGAAGTTTCATGAGCTAAGAAACAAAACAAAACAAAAAACTCACAGTGTCCTGAGGCCTGTTGAGGAAATAAGACATCCCCAAACTACTGTATGATGCTTCACCAATGATTAAGGCTGATCTTTTCAAAGGCATTGTTTTGTTTTATCAAACACCTGACATGATCCAGCATATGATGTTATAGTAAGGTTGTTGTTTACCCCAGTGTTGTCTGGAAAACCTCCCTGAGCTACCAATTTGAGTTACAGTTGACTCATGTACTTTGAAAGTAACAGTAGAAAAAGATGCCTGTACATAATTTAATGTTACTCTGGATTTTCATTGGGTTAACATTGTGAAGATGACCTCCTCTAAACAGACTGGCAGCAGTCTGACATTATCAGTATTTGTAGAATACTTGTTTTTTATTTTAATCTGTGGAACTTGAGTATCCCCAAGGAAAAAAAGTCATTATAGATTATCACACACCTGAATGTTTAGTCCTGACCATGTGTCTGGTTTTGATGCATGGGTGGACCCTCTAAGACTAACAAACTTTTTATCATTGCACCTGTTAAAGTGCACCTGATTCTATTTTTAGTCATTTAAGGGATATTAACTTTTTCCACATGGGGATAAGTATTTGTTTTAACAGCACAACTAATTCCCAAGTAAAGTTTTGTGCTCTATTTCTGCAAACATAATAATAGATTGTTAGAATAAAGGTTTGGTCTGCCTCATTTTCTTGACTGGAAGGAGTAGAGAGGAAAGGAAACCATTTTCCATGCATTTAAATATATGGAAGGATTGTGCAATACATGTTGAGACTATACTGTACTGTTAGTGTGATGTACATAATTGATATTTGAGAAATATATAACCAGACAGAAATAAAAAGAAAAGAAATCATATTTTTTTTCCAAAAAGATTATATGCACATAGGCCTTTCTTTGCTGTACAAAGAAATCATTGTTATCATCAATCGGTATTAAAAAAAATAATAATAATGAAATAAAAGAAGGACAGCAATTGTAGACATGGTAGGGAAAATTACTTCATATATTTGTTCCATAAAATCCTTGAGAATTAGATCTTCTGGAAATTTCTTGCAGCCTCGTTCTCATTAGAGACCATGCATTCCTGTTTCATTAAATGCCTGTTCTTTGGAGACTACTGCACAAAATTAGATTTTAATAAGAAGTCCCTATTCCCTTGGAATAAAGTTACACTGTAAAGTGGAATTGCATGCTAGTGCCAGCGCAAATCAGCAAAAACATTGTATCATCCTTTCAAAATAAGCACTAACGTCTCTGTTAGCATGCTAATGGCTGTTTTGCATTTGCCATGGCATTTCATTGTGTTGGTCTATATACAGTTAAATTAATCTGGATTGTGCAGTTCGTCTGCATAATGGCCAATTACAATTCTTTTGTAAGTGTAAAAGTACACTCAAAGGAATAGCAGAACAGCAATAATAAAGGCCAACACTAAGGTTTGGTTAACGGCTCAGGGACGTTCTGTTCCCAATTAATGGTTAACAGCAAAGGAAAACTTCCGAGTCACTATGCAGAATAGTTGGGGTGGTAACAGTTCTTCTAGACAGTAAACAATAATTTGAAATTTTTACAATTTTTTAAAATTGCCCAGTAGATTAACATGGGTAACAGTGATTAAATGGCTCTGCAATGTCACATACATTATACATTACGTACGTTAATACATTAACATATTTGTTGGATACATTTGCTTGTTGTTTTTGGAGGCTCTTATACATATGTCTCATTTTAGAGGTTGTTTTCTTTGCTGTTACACTTGACATTACTTACTAGTTTTTGAATGGGTTTACTCCCTTTTTCTCTGCAAACAGAAATAGTCAAAACAGTGAGAGCACTATGGAATATAAACCCGGTGATTTGACTTGACCTAATATCGTAGCGGGTATTTTGTACCGACGGCAAAGATCAACCTTTCAAATTAACGTATCTAATGTTGTCAAAATAACTTTCCCCTCTTTCATTTAGCATTGTCCTATTTTCACTGGTGTGATTTTTCTCTGACATTGCTTATAACATTTCCTAATCATCTCGAGACTCACACTGTCATCCTCTGAGTATTTGCCCATGGGTGTCTCTTTGAATCATTAGTAATTGGTACCCTTTATTTCTAGTTTTAAGCACATCCCTTTAATATATACTGAAGGCAGAATACTGGCCTATCGAGGCAGTTGTTGGGAGTAAGAGAGGCTCATCTTTTACTACTGAATGTCAAAGCGGCTTTTATGAAAGAGCGACTTCAATGACATTTATTCACGCTTATTGGACTTTCTGTTAGAATGCTGCAAGACAGCACTTGATTTGTACTGCTTGTAGGAAATAAGTGCTGCTTTATTGATGCATGGGTTAGTTCACTTTAGACTGGCATGTCATATTAGGTGTACATGTGCACTGTATGTGTGTGTGTTTGTCTGTATGTGTACTCTGATTGTGCATTGCAAGAAATGCCTGAAATATGAGTCATGTGAATCTAGAGTAATATCCTTTTCCGTGTGTGTTCGCACGTGCATGTCTGTACATGTGATTGCACGTGCGAGACAGTGTGTGTGTGTGTGTAGCAACAGCATTTGCAGTGTGGCGACGGCATGGTCTCACTGTAGTGCTGAATTGAGCCCATCTCCAGGGTGCAACTCCAATTGATTAAATTTGCCAGGTAAGTTGAGGGGCTGACTTGAGGCTCCAAGCAATTATTTGACTGTGGCTAAAACTGGTGTAAAGAACAGATTCTCTTGTTCTTTCATACTGCCGTTTTGTAATAAAGTACAGATCTGTTGTCAAAAAGAACTGCACAGCTCACAGCTCGTGAGAGTGTAACCTCTGTAATCTGATGCTTCCTTTAGCACACAAAATATCAAAAACGGATATATCTTTCCCACGATACAAAGATACCTATTGCTAAAAGTGTTATAGATTTGTCACTGCCATCTATATCCATGCTCCATTGTTGACTAGATTCTGTATTCTTTGTGTCTTGTGATTGGCCCAAGCATGCTGCTTCTCATTCTCATAATCACTTTCATAATCAGAACATTTTTATGAAATAAGGTAACATACTGTATGCTACCTTAGCATGCGACAGGTAATAACATACAGGAAATACAGTGGTATATGCAGTGTGCTTGACTGCACGCGCTACTTGTCGACTTGTGACGCCACCTTAAATTTCTACATCCCTTTGTGTGTGTCCATGGGGTCTTGCAAAGCCACTTTCTTTTAACACTTTAAATCCTGCATTTTTTACATCCATATTTGCTAGCTAGCAGTCTTCTTTTTTGCTGCCTTTTTTGATGCTGCTTGCTTGCACGTTACTGCCACTGTTACCTCCTCAGGGTACCTTTTTAGAGGCCTAAAGAGGTGACAGTGTTGTTTATTTCACTGGGAAGAAAGTGAAAACGAGCCTGTAAAAGATAAACATAATTTTGTGTCACAGACGTATATTCATCTTCTAGGCTCTTTAATCATTTTGTGACACCCCATCGTGGGCCCAGACCTGCAGATTTAGAACTACTGCATTAAGGTGATCTGTCTTTTTTGGTTCAATGCATCCATTCAGTCCATTTTGGAAACCTAAGCTCTTTCTTCGTACTGTTATTGACAAGCACAATATAAAATTATTTTATTAACAGTTCCTATTTCTGAAATACCAAAAATCTTAAAAGTTGGAGTCTCTTTCTAAGAGACACCAAACAGCAGAGAGCTACTGAGCTGTCTGTCACACACATTTCCTGTCTTTCAAGTGTTATGATTGCAAGAAGTGGCATCTGTGCAGTCTGTGGAGGGAACAGCTGGCCAGACTCAGACTAAGGGGTGGCCATTAGCTGCCTGCGCACAGACCTCCCAGGAGCACCTGAGAAAGATGGCCAGGAGGCAGAAAGGCTAACATTTAATTGCACTGAAAATGGCCGCTAAAATCTCCCTGATGGCGGAAACGGTTGCCCTGGTGAGATGAGAAGAAGTGGAGGATTGAGGTTGTGGTCTTGACAGGGGAAAAATGAAAAAGGACTGGAAAAAGCACTGATGTAATGACAGGTGTCTGAACAAAAAGGACGGTTGGTTACAGATCAAAAAGGCAGACGGTCATACTGACTGGCAGACGACACAGTGAATTGATCAATTGTCTGATTAACTACCACACTGCAAGAATCAGATATTTTCAGTCAGAGCAAGGCAGGCACCATCCAAGTGCAATCTTTCTTTCTACTTCAGGCTCCATTCATTGCAGTGCAGATCCTCATGTAACCTATTCAGCACTCTCCCAACCTGGCAATATTCACGTTGGCAGATAAGTTAAATTAGTAATGATTGGACTGCTGCTGAGCATATTGACTTTCTTTGCTCTGCTCCACAGAAGCTTTTTCCTTATGTACTCAGGTCTGAACTCTTGGCTTGTGTTTTCCTCTACCTGTGTATTAAAGTAATAACAACTTTTAATAACTTTTTGTAAATACCTCCACTTTGCAACTCTTTGAACGCTGATGCATAATAAAGTACTTTGCCAGTAACTGACCCGATATCCACTTTAGGAGAGCTTTTCATTTTATAAAACCTGGTTGGACAGTCTCAGGAAAAATGAGCAGCAATGGTGTGTTTTTAACAGATATAATTAGATATATGCTTGCTTATCAACAATAAACTGTAAGGAAAAAAATACCTTTACCTATCAACAATTCTATGACAATCGTTCAAATATGTCCTTTCAGGTTTCAGTTTTGAATGGATGCTGTTATGACTCTATAAACCCAAAGGTTTCTTAATCTAAGAGCCAGGATGCAACCTAAGGTTGTTTTGAGTTCAGTGGCAGTATCTCTCAGATTCTTTAGAGCCCCAGTTTCGCCCCTCACTTTATTGATATTACTCTTAACAAATTCCAAAGCACTTAAAAGGGAATAATAACATATAGGCAAAAGAATATACAAATAGAAAGCAAACAATAAAAACCCAGAGCACCCAGGGGACAAAAATAACTTATAGAAATAAAAGAAAATATAAAATGGAGTGCAGCAGTAAAAGCAGACCAAGCATTCACAGAGGCTTGCAGTACTTATGAGTACCGTAATGTTTTAAGCAGGAAAAAAGATAAGATGTAATGTCTGAAGTCATCGTGCTCCAAAGTCATTGTCAGTTTGTAAGTCCTCTAACATTAATCATATAAAAACTAGCAATTACATGGCTCGCCTAACAATATGCTGCAATAAACTATATAAACACTTAAACACAATTCAGCTCCTAAACGTTGTACCCGGAGCTGCTTTCAGTCCTGTTGGTTCAAAGTACTTGTGAAACTGTTGGGAAGTGATCATTGCACAAAGGAACAACATTGTAACACTTATCACTTTTGATGGGGTCAGAAAATCGAACAAGTATCCTTAATCAAGACTCTACAAAAAGGATTCATTAGTAGCAGCCTTTAGAAGTAATAGCTATCTGTTCTGAAGGGCAGTGATTGCGTCAATACTGTCCCTATGGTGTAAACTCGAGGTTGTTTGGTTCTTTTCTTGCATTTTACCAGCACTATATGTGTTACAGTGTATTACCTCAGCATTACTTCTATTTTTTATGCACCAGTATATGTGATGTTTTTTTTTCATTTGTCAGTTAATGGATACACGTGTCTGATTTTCTTATTTCTGCTTGTGATAAATGTGCTTTTCTCAACTCTTGTTTCATAGGGGAAATATGCCAACCTTGATGTATAAAAATGTTTAAATATAAATATAATTTAACATGCCATATTAGTAATATGATATGTGTTTGACGACAGAGGTCTACTTTATTATTTTTGAAGATATGTCTGGTTTAGTTATAAATGTGAAATTAAATGGTCAAGATGTAGGTTTATTGATTGTATGAAACTCATACTAATGTTCATATTTGCTCACTCTGGGTTGAGATGGGTTGCCATGGTAGCCACATATAAATTTCAAGCTAATGTATAATATTTATAATTTTTGCTTCTTGGGTGCTGCAAAATCTCTGATTTCATGCAGATCTAACAGCTTATTTCCCCTTTTTCCTCCTGTCCCGTGAAAGAGCATCGGAAATTTCTTGGTCTTGCCTTGACTTTCCCTGTCTTCTCTCCTCTCCTCTTCCCTGCTATAGATGATTTTTGTCAGACTCTTGTCGACACCCTGGAGGGCACACCTGGTCTGCGCTACATTTGGAGCACCTTCAAGCCGTTATTGCAAGGGAAAGTCCTCTACACACCTGATACACCCGCTGCTCGCCTCATGGTGAAAGAGGTAAGTCTAGAGAAAAATATAACATATTTACATGCATGCTGACTTCTCATGCCCTTGAAAAGTAGCTGAATATTTTGCTCACATCGGTGTATGGTATGAGCAATTTTAGTGAAAGCTGAAAACATTGTTTTCCATTTGTTTGTGAATACATTTGAATATCCTGTATGCAGGATCAGAACAATTACAAGTATCAGTAACTGTGAAGAAGCCTCCAGTGGAAGAATAAAAAAACAATGAATGTCACACAAAGTAAGTAGTTAAGTTAAGAAAATAAAAACAGTGCAATAGTTAGTCAGGTGGTCTGTTCATGGGACCTAGTGAATGTAATGCATTTTCATGACATGACATTCCTCCAAGATATTAGCATTGTTTTGATAACTGCATAAGCAAAATAAACAACAGGCAGGCGGTGAGGGTTTTGCATTGAGAATTCGTAATGAGTTCACAGCAAGTGGCCCGGTGCTGGTGCAGAAGGCCCCTTTCACACCAGACATTCAGATTGTTTACAAGTCAATGTTCAGGGGTAAATAACCCCATTTACATTCGTCACCATGGGGGGTTGCAGCGTTACAATGTGATGAGTTCCTCTAGGGATTAGTTTAAATGTTCAGATGTGGAGTACTTTCATGTGTGGATTGGCTCAGAGCAAATAGAATAGACTCAGTGGGTATGCTTTCAGTCAGGGAAAGGTGAGTTAACTTTATTGTAAAATAATATTGCTTTTGTTGTTTTTGTTTCAGGCAAATAGCACATTCAACGCCTTGGCTATGCTCAGAGAGCTCGCTGATTCGTGGGATGAACTCGGGCCACGTGTCTGGGATTTCCTTCAAAATAGCCCTCAAGTCAATTCAATACGGGTAAGACTCTAAGAAGCACTATTACAAAATGTGATTATTAGGTTTTCTGAAAAAAAATCTAGTTTCTCAACTGACAAGTAACAAGTTTTAATACTGAACATGTTTATTTTTACAGAAATCTTAAGAAGTTACCTTGTAAACTTGTTATGTACAGTGAGATTTCACCTGCAGTACTTTTGGCTTCAGCTAGATAGTCTCAAAAAGCAGCTTTTGTATGATTGTATTTCACATTTACCTGTGCAGTACACACTTCAAAACTCCAAAGCTCACCAGAACATGTGAAATTAGTGAGTTGTTTTTCTGGCTGTTTTTTTTCCCTTTTTTAATTAGACTCTAGCACATCAGCAGCAGCTGATTTACTTTTTTTCTGTCCAATTCACTGCATTTTACTATCTGCGCTTGTTATCACGCAACTTCCATCATTGCTTATGAATGCATAGAGACATAAAAACCTACATAATCTGATAAAAATCCTAGTATTTTTTAGCAGAAATCAGTAAAAAAAAGAGGCCTGATATATACTGCAGGTGAGAATATACATGTCGTGTATATCAATTTGTTGCACCTTGTGTTAGATATGGAAACCGAGGGAGGAAAGTAATTATGGATAAGTGCAGGATAATTTTCATCCTGGCAGAAAGGATTATCTATAGAAGTAGAGGACATGGACTCTTCGGCACCACTTCTCTCCCTCCCTCTCTCCTTCTCTCTCTCTTTGCCTCTTGCCGTATTTCCTTGACACTGACATTACTCCGGTGTCACTCCAAATGAGCTTATAGGCAGCTGGAGGGAAGCAGACATTGGGAGCTCCATATAGCCAGGGTATTCATTACCCTAGCCCTAACCTTTACACAAATGGGCCGGCAATCCTCCTTTGTCTTCATTTTCTCCCAGCCCGGCTCTCTCTCTCTCTCTCCCTCTGCCTCTCGCTACAAAACTGGTGGCATCGGAGGTTTGTCATCTTCAGAGGTCCTTCAAGGTCGCAGACCCGTTTTACGGTGATGGACCAATTACCATCACCACCACAGCTACATTTGAGACAGAAGATGTACGGTGTAGAGATGCATAGAAGGACATACTGTACAGAAACAGCTTACAAATAAAAGTGGGTGAAAATATGTTTGATGTAATTGCCTATTTCTTTACATAGTGTTTACACATTGTAAGTTGTAATCCTTATTTTTTCAGTCCTGGTTTATTTGGCGACACTCGTGGTTACCTTGGAAACAGCAAGTGCGGTTTAATACTTTAGAAATAGAACAGAAGTTCAGGAGTATTTGTTTACTGTACAGCCAAACAGACTCACTTTGTTTTAATAAAGAAGTCAGTCAGTAATCCACCCTTGTTCATGTCACACCATGAACAACTGCAGTCTGATTTCATGCTGCACATGAAAGTAGTTCATGTAGTAGTTTTCCACACAACACCAGAGCACGATAAAGTTAATTACCTTTCTCAGAGGTTGGAGGTGGCATTTCATCTAGTAGCTCACTATGGCAGGTATTCTTCGTTCCATTACTCCCTGTCACATATGAAAGTGATTAACTACCCAAGTGTGGTGAAAATGTCTTGTTTTGTAGGCTCAGTCTAGATGAAAATTGATTGATTTTGTGCTTTTAATGTGAAGCATCAGCAGTAGACCACCCTATTTGCATTAGGTGTAACTAAATACAAGAGTCAGGCTGTTATCAATACGATTCGAATAACATACAATTATACTGGTTAAGCACATGCCTTGTTTCCTCTGAATCTCTTGTGGCGGACTCCGCCACTAAAAATAACAATAATAATACTATACAGAGAGGTAATTAGTGAATGTAAATACATCAAATGGCCGACAATACATTTTATTAAAAATGGGGTTTGATTTCATGAAAATCTGAGGGTTTATAACTTGAACTCAATGCTTTAATTAAAAACTATGAAATAAACAGGACCCATACTCTCTGCATAAAATAACTTTTATATTCTGGAAACTGACAGATCCGCTCATGATGAGCAAATTCATTTGACACATGACCAACAAGGTTATATGGCATGTCTGTAACTCTCTGGTGCAAATACCACTGAAAATTATGCCACATGTAGTCGTAGCCTGGATGAAGATTTCAAATAGTGAGCTGACTTAAGAGTTACGGTCAATTTGCCGGCGTGACTACTGTGATTCCTAAATGACTCACAGACTTTAAAATACATACATTTTTGATGGGTCATGTCCTTAATGTAGCACCCACTAAAATGGATGCAGATCTTTTTTTAAAAGGTCACATGCAGCATAGAGATTACTTAATTTGACACTTTGTTTTAAGGTTAGGCAGAATATGATCAGAAGTGTTGACACTGAAATGCCACTGCACTGGCCAGAATAAATCTGAATCACAACTCAGACTTTTGCACTTTAGAGGCCATATTCTTGATTGACATACAGCGCCCTTTCTTCTTCAGTCCACACAGTCCACTTTCAAATGTGAACCATGCATATTCATCTACTAGAATGATTGGTTTGGAAACAGTAGGTATGTTTTTTTTCCTAAAATTATAAATGGTATTTAATGGCTGTTTGAAATAACTTATTATCTCAATGGATTTAGTTTCCTTTTCAGTGTTCCTCTGTGTACATGACAGGTATATAATCACTCTTATGTTTAATTTTAGTTTATGTAGTAAGTAAAACTGTCATTATAGGAACAGCGTTGTATTAATACTTAGGCGGTAATTTCACAGCAGCATGGAAATACTGCTAAATAGAGTGCAATGCATTTAAACCAACAAGTGGGAGTAAACTGATCTTATTATGCAAGAGCCACTGTATTGTTTGAGAAGCTCAGAACTGTTTATTTCACACAACATTCTCACATGTGCATATCCGTGTGTTGTATAGATGTAGGGCTTAGGTACTGAAGAGCAAGGTTATATTTGCTTCGTATTCACCTTGATCAGAGCAGTTGCAGCTTGATCCATGGCTTGAGATGCCGGAAAGAGGCTTGACATACATGGTTCTTGTAAAGTGAAGGGGACAGAAATCAGCATTTGCCTATATGTCTGTTTCATGCTCTTGTATTTTTTTTCATGTGTGTACAGGCAGTGTTTAAATTTGCATTAATTTTCACACTCTGCTCCTTAATGTATGTCCATGTAAATGTGCATATGCTATGTGTGTGGGGGGGTACTGTACATTCATAATGTATGCTGCGCATAAGCACTTTTTGGCCATGAGAATAGTAAATGTTGTATCCCAGAGTCTGAAGTACAACAGTGCCATCTATCTTAATACTCCTAATTAATTCTGCAGAAGAATGAATGTCACAGCCACCAACGAACAAAGCTGACCTCCCTTGCTTTCTCTTCTAAAATAATACCCTGCGATCTAAACTGCTTTGGTCCTCAGTCAGATTCCATTGCATTCATGCCACATTCGTTCTAAACCCCTCACTTGCAACCAGAGTAACTATAATTAAAACCATCTTCTTGCCTTTCTAAATCAGGCTTTGCTGGCGAATCCAGTGTTTGCTGCTGTCCTCAACCAGCGTCTCAGCAGCACAGCGTGGACAGCCGAGCAGCTGGCCAACTTCCTTTACAATGGGCCTCCGGAGGATCGTCCACCCGACATGCCGCCCTACGACTGGCGGAACGTTTACAACAACACTAGCCAAATCCTGAAGCTTCTCTCGAACTTCCTTGGTGTATGTAATTCTTTTTTATCCATGCTTTTATTAAATGCGTAGCACCTCATGAACCTGACTTCCAGCCCACTTGAGGGTTCTCTGACCTCTTCAGTAAAGTGAGAGATTTGATTTAAAAAAATAAAAAACATTCTCTGACATTTAAGATTTAAAAAAAAATATATATATTCTCACTGGTGAGGAAATTGGGAATAGATGTTTTTCTGCTCTCCCTCCACTGTTCTCTTTTAGCCTCTCCCTTCTGTGTTATTTATCTGGTTCACCTGATATTACCCATGTGGTTTTGTTGGTTGGAGTTGGTGTTTAAAACAAGGGCTATATGACCTTTAAAGTGCTCAAACAAAAGCCTTTTTGTAAAAAATAAGTTGATAAATTCTAATGTAGCAACGTTTTTTCTGAATTGTGGGTTTGTTCAAAACCCGATCCAGATGAGGTAACTTTAGCCATGCCGAGCCAGTGCAGCAGCATCTTACACATTGAATTTACAGTGGATTACAATTGAGTTTTTTACAGTGTCAATGGTAATTTCATTCTGTCATGATATTTAAACAATTTGCAGTGTCAGCTATTCAATTACCACATATACCCTTATTTACAGACTTAAGGCAGTGATCTGGCACAAGTCTTGTATCCATGACACAATTGCTTTCCTTTACTCCTCTTTCTGTTCACAACTGTGACACGATGGCAGAACATCAGTGGTTCTTCAGTATGTATGCAGGGAGCTTCGCATCTAAGACACAATGTGTCCATGTTCAGCACAGTGCTTTTTGTTTCTTAGCTCTGTTGTTGCTGTGTCTGTGCTCTGCTGTTGTTAAAACCAAACTGAAGACTTTTCCAGATGACATGTACAGGTTTTTTTGTTTTTTTTTGGAACTTGCTCACTCATTCAGCTTTTGTGTGTTTTCGGAGAACAAGCTGCAAAAGGGACTTTGGTCTTTTACTCATTAAAGTTTAATACCCTTGACTTAGCAAGCTGTCAAATACACAGGAAGATCTGTCACTACATTGCTTCCATGATAATCATAAAAAAACATTGTTATGGGCCTGGCTATAGTGAATCTGTAGAGGCATCAAACAGAGTGGAGTCTCTAAGTAGGAACACACACACACACACACACACACACACACTTGACATTGATATATTGATCTGTGGCACAGTTTGCAGCAAAATCCTTCTTTCTCTGTGTTGTGTGATCAAACATGTACAGAGCTCACACACACCCCCCTGCCACACTCACACGGACACATATAATTTCAATCCACAGGTGGGTATGATGTCAGTTTGGGCCCTTGGGTTTAGCCATACATGGCCAATGAAATTCCAACAAAATGCAATCTATTTTCTGACTTTGCTCAAAATGGATACCAGGATAGGGACAGTTATTAGACATCCTTTACTGTGGTGTCCTCTTGTCTGGGTGTATACATATGTAGGGAAATAGAGAGCTTTCTTTCAGTCCAGGGCAGAATACTTTCAGCACTGATAAGGCAATGTAAGCAGGTGGAGTAGCCATAAGACAAAAAATGCTATACAGTACACAAATTAAACCGACCATGATAATCCCTTTTACTGATGGATAGAAAATTAGGAAAGTTTGCTTTTTCATAGCTTATCTTAAAGACAAACATCTTGTTCATGTGATGAATAACATAATTTAGCCTGATTTAATTACTTTTTGGTTACTGATTTTGCAAGCACAATCTGCATGGTGAATAACCAAACACAATTCATCTTTAGAGCAAACTGATTACTTTAGGATACATGGAGAAAAAAACAAGCTACCAAGTGTCCACAGTGCTGATACAGATTCAGCACATCGAAGCGATAAACGCCTTGATAATATGTGTTCACAAATGAGTCATTTGTATCCTTGAAATAATAATCTGTGTGAGCAAATTAGTAACTCAAGATCAATGCCCAACAATCTGTGGCCATTTTATAATTGGCATGGCTTCTCTCCATGGTGCCACCACCAGCGTAAACAATCAAGCCGCATCCCTTTAATAGCACAGGCCCAAATTAGAGCCACAAACTGCTGCTGCCCTGCTTCATTTATGGCTGCCCCACAATTAAATAGGATCATGGTACTGATGGTGGTATTTATGAAAAATAGATAAGAATAGGAATAATCATGTAAACTGCATAACAGGTCATTATGAGTGGCGTTCAAGACAGCAGTAAGACTAAAGCAGTACAATTTCATCATCTTCATAACCCTCAGATATATAAAACTATATACATAGCTGCAAATTGAGAATACTGCATTACAGTATAGTACTGTTCTGCTTAAACATTAGGGACATTGGAGTAATTTCTCTAAGGATGAGTGTATGAGCTACCAAAGTCTCTCTGACATGAGCAGAGAAAATTGATGTGTGGTATGTGTCGTATCTTCTAAAAGAGCTCACAGCATGCACTCACACAGCCACTTGACCAGCCACACATAGGCCATGCAGTAACTTCATCATATGTTTGCAAGTGTTAATCACTTAACTATCTGCAGCATCCACATAATCTCCACAAGCATGATGCTACTATGAGCAAAACAACTCAGTGTGTTGCCCTGGATGTTCCTCTGAATTAGGCCAAGATAGGATTGGCAAGCTATCAGTGGTGCCAATTTCTCTGTCCAGAGCCTGAATCAGATTGTTTACATCAGACAGCTTAGCCCTAGCTGCTGGCCCAGTGGTAAAAAAAACAAAAAAACACCCAAAATGCATAAGCATTCTTACTCTATCCAAACCAACATCATGGTTTGTAAGCTTGTAGTGACAGAGAAATAGAGACATCTGTAAAGGCCATCTAGAAATACGGTAGACTTTCGGGGTGGCTGTTAACATGTAGCTCCTATACCTAGTTTATGAGGAGCATTTTCTTCCATATATTTCTCTCAGCACTTGTCCAAACTTTGGGCTCATGTAACCATTCCACCGCTGCGACATCCTCACTTGTATGTACTGAACCAATGCTGTGTTTGTGATATTTTGTTTCCCACCATAGCTTGATATATAATACAGCTAGAGAATCCTTGGGGGAAATGATAAAACTATTGCGGCACTGAGATGTGTGGACAGCTGTCAGGTGTGACTGCCTCCCAGGATGGCTAGCTCATTATCGTCTCATGGAACAGGGGACAAGGCTACAGAACGGGGAGTGCTAGCGAGGCTGTATCTCATTTGCTTGTCTGAAGCCCAAAACATTTCCCACCCCCTTGCAGATCCAGATAATTTGGAACTAGGCTCTGTGTGGTTTAGTCAATAGCTGAGTGACACTTTTTGCTAAATATCCATCTGCCATTCTGCCATTGAGTTCATGCCTGCCTTTGTTTTATTCCCTCTTTTGTGGACACTGAAGGTTTATATAGAACAGGAATGATTTGCTGAGAAAGAGATGATAGAAAAGGAATGCATTTTTGTGATACTTCTGTGTTTGTTGACAGTGTTTAGACCTGAATAAGTTCGAGGCAGCCCCCACTGAAGGCCATCTGGTGAGCAAAGCGCTGGAGCTTCTGAAGAATGATACATACTGGGCTGGAGTCGTCTTTGAAAACCTCCAGCCAAACTCCAGCCACCCCCCTCCTTACGTAAAATACAAAATCCGCATGGACATCGATGAGGCAGAGCGTACCAGCAAAGTGAAAGAGAGGTATGTGACGCAGCTCAGCCTTGAATACGAATAAGGATCATATCTGACCATATCTATGAAAATACTACATTTATTTACTGAACTGTCTTTTCTTACTGGCTTTTCCTGTGTAACACATTTTATGGCTTTTGTTTGAAGGAATAATATGACACTGCCTATTCGCTTCTCGTCGAAAGGAGATTGATTCGACTCTCATATCTGTATGCTAATTATGAGGTGAGAGCCAAGAGATGGTTAGCTTGGCATAAAGACTGCAAATACAGCTAGTCTGGTCTTGTTCAAAGATGAATATTGGTAATTAAACAGTGTTAATGAATGAGCTTTAGAGGTGTTGGTAGGCTTTGGACACAGCTAGGCTAGCTGCTATCAGTGTTTATGCTAAGCTAAGCTAACTGCGTCCTTGCTCTTGCTTCAAGATTGGCTCTGTCCAACGGTAAAAAAAAAATCCGCCAGCCAGCACTGGCCAGTACTAACCTAACCTTTGGACAGTGCTAGGCTAGCTGTTTCCCTCCTGCTTCCAGTTTCCACTAGCCAGTATTTATGCTAAGATAAAATAAGCTAATAAGACGTGAGAGTGGTATTAATCTTTCCTTCTGACTCTGGGCAAGAAAGCTTTCCGAAACTTTCCAAAACTTCAAAGTATTTCTTTAAGCCCTGTGATTCTGAGTTTTAATGTCCTTCCTGTTTAAAAAATATCTGATCTTTTATTTGTTTTTTAAAGTTTTCTCTCAAACAACATAACCCCTAAAAACAGTCATGATACTCTGACTGTATTTCTGACCATTCTGGTTGTAGTTTACTTGCCCTTTGCTAAGACAGATCATGGTGTGCTTGCTTTTAATAAGGTCATGGTCTCCTGGGGCCCGGGACAACTCCTTTAACGACCTGCGCTATATATGGGGAGGCTTCGCCTACCTGCAGGATATGATGGACAATGGCATTATACGAGTGCAAACGTCAAAGACCCAACCCCTTGGTGTTTTTGCCCAGCAAATGCCATACCCTTGCTTTGTGGATGACGCGTAAGTACAAAAGCTTTTATCTGTCAGCCGTGTGATTAGTGGAAGAGGAAGAAGGTATTACAGCAATAAAATTCTGCTCACTCTGGGGAGTTGCCACTCACTGCCACCACATAGTTGAGTTATGGTCTTCAGTTTATCAGTCACTTAGGCCCTTCAGATTTCCCTGTGGTAGCTTCAAGATGCTCCCTCTTATTTGTCTAACTTTCTTTGACATCCATGGTGCTTTTCTGCTAGTGCCTCATGCTATCATTGATCACAGATGAAGGGACTACTCTAATAAAGCGAATCTGTTAAAAGTCAATAAAACAAATGTAACATCCGGGAGGATAAATTTAAACATTCATTGAGGGTCAGAAAAAGAAAAGAAATGAATGAAGACAACAAGTGCAAGAGTGGGCTAAAAGTATTGATTTTAGTCAAACCACAGGAAATTCCTGAATAGTTGATGGATGCTGAATTATTCAAGCAACCACCATGGGTCCTTTCCTTCCTTGTATTTTCGAGGCATTTCATTCGTGAGTGTACCATACCCCACGTCTCACACAGCTCCATCATGTGAAAAGATTGACATCAGGACTCCATCTGTGTTGTGTACTGTATATATCCCTTGATAGCACTGGCTTCTATCATGTTAGACCATTCGCCTAGGGACAGAAAACGATGGGGTTTTACTCTTGATCTTCCACAGCCAAGATTTCCTCAGAGTATGGGAAATTACTCGCATCCACACAACATGATGATCTCCATTAATAAAGGAAAAGCCCAGTGATGCCATCAAGAGAAAAGATAATTACCAGGGAGATTTAAGTCCAACAACACAATACGCCCCTATCAGTAGACACAAAATATTTACACCCCGTGGGAAAACACAGTTCCAGAGATTAGGGATCTAATTTAAAAATATTATGTGCTTTGGATAGCAGAGAATTTACAGTAAAGCAACCTTCAGAGAGTGTTTGGATCAACATATTTATAGAGGCAGAAGTAGGACGAAGCATGAAAATTATGACTTCATATTGAAGATGCATTTGGGCTGCTAATATATACAAGCATGGGAGTGTTGAATGCATGTTTTGAATAACAATGCCCTATTCTATACCACATGCTTGTCTTGGAGACATGAAACATGAAGACATTGGTGCCTTGAGAGCCATATTCAAAGTGATGGCTTTATTAATGTTGTTTGTATCATCCAGGGTTTCTATTGATTGTGCTTATTTCCTTCCTCCGATTTATATTCACAATGTGGCATCAAGATGAAATGCAGCTTCACTGCTTTGCGCTTTATTTTGTTGCTACTTTAAAAAACCTGGTTTTAAGACACATATTGCATATTTCTTTTTAACTGCCTAAGTGGGTGCGCTTGATTTGGCATGCCAGGCAACAGGATAGTTTCAGAAGTACTAATTGGAGTGAAGTTGAACTAAATATTGCGCCCAGTGGAGATATTCATCTGAGAGGAATTTTGGCATTTTGAATTAGCTAAATTACAAAATCATTCCCTTAATACATTAGCGGGTAGACACACTGCAGATGGAAGAAAACTGACATCCCTGCTATTGACTTTTTCTGCATTTCCATTCCGTACCTTTCTCCAGGACAGTAACAACCAAAGCTTGGCACCAGATTCCTCCATGTTGTAGTAATGCACAGTGTTGTTAGAGGTTCCAGCATGTCACCTAGTTTCCTTGCACCCTCATTTAGGATTCATTGTTGTGATAGTGATCTGAAATTAGACAGTCATGTTACAGCTTATTTTCTAATGCCGGCCCTGTTGCTTAAGTTTCATCTTCCTAAAACAAAGGATTAATAATTACACAAGATAAATGGGAGCCATAAAACACTGCAATACCCTCAGTCCCTCCACCATTTACTCTTTCGCCTGCCTAGCCATTTGGGCATTTCTATAAATTATTAACACTTGAAAACTGCTATTTCATTCATAAATAATTGAGAGTGAAATCACACAAAGGAAGATGCACTACAACACAGAGAGCTATGGCGGGGAAGAACCTTGGTGGTAATTATTTTCATCTCAAACTGTGTAGTGTGAGCCAAGAGGAAGGAAAGAACATTGTGCATTCAGATGGACATGTTAGCAGTTTGCTGTAGCTGTTGCTCAGTGTAGAAAAAGGTCTAATCTGACTTTAGGATGTCATTAAGATTAATTATCATTAAGATACTTTCAGATGCTTCAGGTGCTGTTTAGAATTCAAAAATGTTGTATGTACAATCAATGGATAGAAAATACCCTGTTGGTCACATAAAAAGTATACATGGTTCCAGTAGCAGTATAACATGCGATATATATTAAATATAAGACTAAATTGCAGTCATTTCATTATTTTTTGTGTACAATTTAGGCTATATCATGTACATTTACAATATATTTTCTGACAGCAGCTCAGGAAAATGTTGCCATGACTAGTTTCTGTGAGAAACCTATCACTTCCTTTTTATCTTTCACTGATAAACTTCAACTAACACAGCAGAATTATCTGCGCTGACCCCAACCCTCATCAACACTTCTTACATCAGACCTACCTTTTCAAATCATTTCCTTTTTTGCGCTCCTCATTTCCTCCTCGCAGCTTTTGACTGTATCTCACCTGACAAACTACCAGCGATCTGGGCCTCTGCAACCACAGCTGACCCCGTTGGCATTTCGAACTTCAGATAAGCAAACTTTATTAGCTCCCACTGTCTTCGTATTCACATTGTGCGCAGGCCTGAGATGACGGTGTGGGATAAAGCTTGACCCTTTGCAGGGCCTGATAGCACATAAACTGGTCCTTTATCAGCGGCCTCTGAGCGACCGCATGCTCCTGAATCAGAGGAATCTCTTGTTTGGCTCCTGAGGCTGTGCTCTCCGTCAATAGGTCTTTCACATTCGCATGGGCTTGATGTGAGATCTAAGGCCGCTTTCAGTGATACATAACGCAGGCCTGCAGTAGATGTAATAATATTGATTGATTAAAATTGATTATGGAATAATCAAATCAGGGATGTAAGAGGAAAATGCTTTTGTCCATCTACAGTAGCTCATAATACACTGTAGTGTAGTCCAGCACATATTGTTTTTCATATTGTTTATCCATGCTTACATAAGAGAATGGTTGGGAGCAAAGACATGTACAGTAATATGCTGTATTTTGATTCATTTTTACTAAGACTAATAAATTATTTGGATACCAGTATGTCCAGATGCTGTATTTTATACATGATGGATGCTAAATGGTCACAGTGCAAAGTGTGTGTAGCCAATCAACATGTTGATTACTGCTGAAGCGGAGTGCGCAATGAGAGCTGTGCATTAATGAGTTTATTTATTCATTTATTTGATCCTGTGTGACGCTTTTCAAGACTTGGCATTTAACAGCATCAGATGGAGGCCCAGTGGCAGATCATGCAGTATTCATAGCGTCCAACCACATTAAGTTGTGGTGCATTTGTAATGTGTAAAGTAATGTAAACTTTTAAACATAGGTTCTTTTTTCTTTTGCAAGCAGAATCACAAATGCAATATGTAGACATTTGTGTCAAGCCATTTTGTCTGGACTATATGTTAAAAACAATACTTCTGTAAAACATTCGAGTAAGTGCATGCTTCAGAAGGCTTTATGGAGGAACACTGGCAATGGAATCATCTTCAAAACAAAACATGGTTGTTGTTGTTTTTGAACATATCAAAATAAACCAGACTAAACGTGTGCAATAATTGGCATAAAACCATATAAATCATTTAGGTCACATTCAATTTAATCTCAGTGCTTTCATTTATTTTTTTTCATTTTGAGGCAATGTAAACAACTTTTTCCAAAACCTGGAAAACTTAGAACTTGCCACTATGATCTAAATAAAACATGACTCCATAAATGTCTTTAATCCACATTACATTACATTCAAAGAATTCATTCAAACGTAATCAGCGCTTAGTTAAATAAAAATGTTTCGCTCTTAAAGGTTTGTTGGCTGTTCTCCAAAAATATAAATTAGTTTGAAAGCACTTCTAAAAGATGAGATTTTATTTTATGCCTGCTTAAAACATTGGCTCTGGCTTGTTTGTAAATTAATAAATAATGTTTCATCACATATAACATCATAGGGACCTTGCAAATTCCACTCAGTTTGACATAAGATATAACCGACAAATATAATGCACAGGTTTTGACCCCACTTTGATATAACTATGAACATACTGTACTTCTATAGTGAGCCATTATTATCTCATGAAATAATAATAATAATTGGAAGCCTATTTCATGTTAAAGAATTTCATTTAATTGACTTTTTTAGAGTAGGCAGGAAAAAATATAGATTAAATGATGCTTCTTGGCTTTTGCAAGTCTCTTTCTATTTTATAGAAATCTTCACACAGTATTCAGCAAGAACTAATGGAAGCAGTGCATCACTATCAACAGTTTTTGTAATTTTTCTCCTCCTTTAAATGTATGGCTGAGATCTGAATTTTAAAATTGTATAATAATCTTTAAACCCTAGCTGATTCTCAAAACTTTGCTTCACTGTTGGTTGAAGGAATTATACTTAGGTTTATAGATGTGATCTTGCTGTTACAAAACAAAAAACAAAAAATAAACACACGACATATGGATTCTTCTTTTTATGCCATAACCACATTTCCTAAAGCAATAATTTGTACCAGCAATGAGATAATCCACATTGAATAAAGTCTGTTCGCTTCAATGAATTGCTCATTTCCAGCCAGCTAAGGAACTCAACGTTATATTTGCTCAAAATGAGACAGGAAGCTTTTTTTTCTTCTTTTTTTTTTTTTTTAGCATGGTACGCCAACCTCTGGGGAGGCTGTGCTCTACTATCTCTTGATTTACTGAGAAATCAGTCTTCCAGCTTCCCTAAATTTAGGTCAGGCTGCCAATGTAACTAGAGCCCCGTAACACAGACCCGCCTGGAGTTCTATTACTTAAGCACCTTTGATCGATCAGCGAATGTATAATTCAAGAGCATCTGGTGGCAAGGTTGTCAGTGTCAGACACGGTGTGCATGACTGATCTCTCCCCCTCCAGTGCTAGAAGTCACAGAAGGAGTTAACTCACACAGGCTGTCAGCTGTTACAGAGATGTTAGGGTAGAGTCGGGAGCAGATAATACCAGAATTAGTATTCAACTTGATGCATTTGCTACTCGAGGCTGCTTGCCTCCCTAGAAAAGGTGCTAATGTACGAGTTAGCTGGTATTTGTTGAAGTGTATTGATTTCAGACTCTTCAATTTTGAATTTCCAGGTTCAAAGAGGCTATTTTATTTATGCAATCTTGTAACAGATTTTGGTGTTATTTGCTCTGGGTCTGAACTTTCAGAAACTCTGTGTCAACCAATCCTGTCTTACTGCTTTCAAGGCCTAGTTTGTAAGTGAGCCATCCCACGAGGGCAGTGGAAGCGTCCTGAAAAACAAGTCTGTCTCTCTCTCCTTCAAGTTCTCATATAACTGAACTTCCTCTAAGGTCTCTGTGGAACTAATTTAATCTCTTTGTTGTGTTTGCAAGACTTTCATCATCAGTTGATTTATTGACAAAAGTGTCTGTACTAAGCAATATTTTGCATAGACTCGAGCATAAAATGAATGAACTTGTACTTGCCTTGTCCCTGGTAACTTAGTACAATGTCAAGTTATCGTCTGACATGGAAGCTGTGGGTTAAAAAAAACTTTTTTAAGAGACATTAACTTATAGCAGTTTGAAAAGAAAAAAACGAACAAATTGCTGATTCAAAATCACCTCTTGAAATAAGCACTTATGCAGGGCTACCTAGCAATTATGGTAAGTAGATGTTTGCGTGAACTGCTCTCACTTGGCATGGATAAAATAAGGCCTTTATAAAAAAATAACTTTCATGAAAATGTGCTTTGATCAATTGTTTATGTTAAATCACTTGAAAGAAGAGCATCATTCTGCCAATTTACAGCGCATTCACTTTGTGTTTCATCTCTACATCCTTGCTGAGCAGTGCTTTGCTTGCATTATATCCCCGATATTTATGGAATGCAAGCATAAGTGATATGTGAAATCTATACTTTGTCCAAATCTATTTGATATGCCTCCTTCACTGTCTAATAAAGCAAAGAAAGCACTTTGTTATATTGGCAGAGGAGGAGATATTGACATGGCATTTTGGTGGCATTATGAAGCCGTTTTAATATCACCTTATTGTGTTGTAACAGCATCAAATCATACATCATCTCTGGCATGAGGTGCGGCACTAAATGGCTTGATTGAGCTGATGCACCAGGTTTATGAAGGTTAGCGCAGAATAAAAATAAAAAACGCCCCAATGGCATTGAATGCATGAGTACGAGTCTGATTGTCTTGATTGTCCCTCACGATAACATTTTTAGTATCTGCAAAATAGTTTCCTTGTACTTAACCAGAGCAAGTAGAGGGTATGACTGTAAAAGGGCAACTTTTAAATTAGAGTATGAATGTAAAAAGCTGATTCACTTTTTATTATTTTATCTGGTTATGCGTCCGTCTGTCCCATTCTCGTTATTTCTTAAAACGTGGCACAAACGTCCTCTTAGACTCAATGAGGACCTGATTAGAATTTGGTAGTCAAAAGTCAAGGTCATGAAACACATTTTTGGCCATAACCAAAGAACTGATGCAATAGTTGTTGCAAAACTTCACACAGATGTTTAATGGGATACAACAATGATGTGATGCCATTTATTATCCACGGTCAAAGGCCAGCTTTGCCTTTAAATGATAACGTCCTGGAAAAACATTATAAACATTGTTTAGCCATTATTTACCACCATAACACAGGAACAGAAGAGGAGATTGTGACCATATTCCACAGTTGGTTGGATACTGAATTGGATTAAAGAATGAAGTGGGTCATTTCAGATTTCACACATATGTATACACCCAGAAAATGATTCTGCAGTGCATCTTTGGAATTTTTATCTTGTGGGATGTAAACAGCAGCAGAAAGATAGCTATAATCATATGGTTTCATCTTCACATCAAATAAAAAACAGTGTCCATCCACTTTGACTGCGTTTGAGTACCAAGCATCATTGCTGTAAACACAGAGTCCACCTCCTCTCGTCATGCGCTGTGTCTGCTCTGAACATGGTCTGCCTGTCGAGTGCTCGATCCGGGATGTTGATGGAGCAGGTCTCTGTGAAGATGTGGGCGCAACAGTCTCTGATTGTCTGTTGTTTGGCCAGCCAGGAGAAGCCTTAAGTCCGAGTAGCATCTGAAGAAGAGAAGTTACTTGTATGCACATACTGGAATTTAGGGCTATACAATCTGCTTTAAAGCCTCTTACTGAGTATCCATAGTAGTACCCATCTGCCACTGTTATCCAGCCTCCATATCAGTGACGAATTTGTCCATATAGTGTAGTAGTGTAATAGTGTGTTGACATGCAGTCCTGACCTTTTTGATTGCTTTCTTCTACAACCAGTTTCATCCAGAGTATTGGTGGCATCCTCCCCATGTTCCTGGTGCTGGCCTTCATGTACACTGTGTGCATGACCATCAAAGGCCTGGTGCTGGAGAAGGAACTCCGGCTCAAGGAAGTGCTGCGTGCTGTTGGCATTCAAAATGGCGCCCTTTGGTCTGCAACGTTCACAGAAAACATTGTTCTGCTCACAGTTCCCTGTCTGCTCATAAGTATCATGGTTAAGGTCAGTAGAAAGGAGTCACTCAGGGGAAAGTATCAGAACACAAAGCATACAATATGAAAATAAGGAAGGTTTGTGAGGTTTTAGGAATATTCTTGAGAACGTTTTCATGATAACAAAATGCTCGTGTGTTTTGGAGTATTGTAGCACCCTTAATGTGGCTGCATATTCCCGTACTAAATAATTTTCATTCAGGAGGATAATTATATATATTATATATATATACCTGGATATACCTATATCCACCAAAAAAACCCAAAATGACACATAACTACAGTACAGCTCATAAAGCGCAGCAAAACCAAGCAATTTGACCGAACGCATCCAACCAAATAATCTGATGCTCTCATGGGTCATTCAGGTCAGGGAATTGTTCATGCTTTGTGTTTTGGTATTCTTGCTGTTGTTAATCATAACCAATTAACAAATCAAATCATCACCCGTGATTCCTCAAATGAACCTTCTCTGGCTAATTAATTGAGCATGCAACTAAAACGACAATACAGTCAAATTAAAATCACAGCCATTGAATCTGCCCTTTATTTCCCGTAATTGCATCACCTCTCCCTCTGTGCCTTATACATAAAGAAAGCTTCTGTTTTTGTCATTTGAGAAGTTAATGATTGGTACTGTATATTTCTGTGATTGCATTGAAAATGTATTATATTTGGCCAGTGGAAGGCTGTGCACTATTTTTATATTATTGAATTTGCAAGGTAATAATCATAAGTTGGAGTAATAGTGGTGCACCAAAGGCAGAAAAGTTCAGAGAGAGGCTCTAGTGTGTGGACTAAAATACATTTTGCAGCCCAGAAGTTCTTTTTTTTAATATACGCTGCTCTGGTTTGTATGAAAAAACAAGATAAATTGACTTTGCTTATGTGAAAGAAATATGAGCAAACAACATTAATATTTGGCTTGTTTTTTTATTTCTGTGTTAACTAAAACTAAAGTTACAGTAACCCTTCCAAAATAATATGAACTTGAGACTATTCATCAAAGCAGTGTTTAGATTTTATAGTATTGAACATTTTTAGCAGCCTTTGAGCTCATGCATAATGCACACAGGTTGGAGCAGTATGAAAAAACAATACCTTAGATATCGTCATGCTCGTGATGTACAATGCACTGTAAGTACAATCATCTCATGGGTCTAACATCATCAATCACTGGAAAAACTTTGGAACAAAATGCAAAATCGAGTTGGTGTTATTCCCAGAAAAGAGGCTAAAGAAATGTGACCAACATTAGTTATGTATATTATCATTTGTCCTATTTAGCAAATACTAGAAATATGGTTTGGGCTGTGAATGCTTTTTTAGTTGTTTATATACGGTCCCTCTGTTAAATCAATGATTTGGTAGGATATAATGGGCTTGCTTATCTGTTGGAATGATCCTCTGCTTAAGGATTGATTAGGAAAGATGCAGAAAGCAGCGTTATCGCGAAATAGAGACCCTTTGTGCCTCCGGTGACATATGATGTAGCAGCGTTATTATTGGCCTCCTTTAGATCGAGCGCATCCTTCAATGGCTCCTTGTTCTGTAGCCGTTGTTAATGAAATAAAAAGGGATGGTTATTTTATATCGGTCTAATCAATTTTTGCAGTTTAATTGGAAAATGTGGCTGGTAAATAAAAACTGATATTTGAACAGCTGGGTGAAATGTAATTTCCCATCAGCCTAATGTGTTTGCAAGCCATCAACAATTTGTAAACATTAATAACAATAAATTGAGTTAGTTGAGTGCCTTGGAGGAGCAACTCCGAGCGCAATGTGTATTCAGATCACAGGCCCATTCTAAATGATAATTTCACAGCCATTCTCACCACATTAATAATAATAGCAAATCAAATGGTAATTATCATAAGGCTGTATCTGGATTAGGTGTGACAACAACCAGTTTTGTCATCTGCACCTGAGTCCTCTGTCATTTTACACTTGTTTTCTCTTCCATTATGGAGGAGCTAATGCATGTATTATTAGGCATCCAGACTGATATATTTACACTGTTTCCACACTTGGCTCCCATCTCAAACCAGCTGAATGACGGTGTTTGTTTGATCTTTTCTTATGAAAACTAACACTGATCAGGGATGATCAATAAACGTTTCCGCTCCCAAACAGGATGTCCTTGTTTTGACAACGTGAAACCACCTTGCGAATGTTTTGTCATGTTTGCACTTGGCCATTAAAATTTGATTAATTTGTTGTGCACAACAACACTGGGCACTGAGAAAAGACTGCAAATGACACTGTCAGAGACCACCTTCACAGTTGGAAGACAGCTATTGACATCCCATCAATCACCCATGCACAAATGACTAAAAATGTATAAAATGAGACACTATTCAGCCAGAAATGGATAGTGGTGAAACATTACATTTACCGTAATACTGAAGTACTTCCATTTAATGCTACTTTTTATTTCTACTACAATACAATGAGGAATATTGTACTTGTTCAGGGGCATAGCACAACGTTCTGCACTCTGTACACGCTGTAGGCATTCTCTATGGCCCCTTACTGCATCCATAGCTATTCATTCTAGTATGTTTGGCCCTGGGTACACCTGGCGTTACGTGGTTCTTGGGTTATCTGATCACAAGTGGACAACTCTTAAGTAGATGAATGCACCAGGGTCGCAGTGAGGATGCACTTAGATCCGATTGTTCAGACCACATTCGGAGGTGATCTGGGCCACATATGACCACATTCTTTGAGCAGTGTTTATGCAAATGTGTCTTTGAAGGGCCGCCTACTCAACTGTCATCCCGTAAGTACACACGAAACACGCTGTCTGAGTTCTGTTTGGTTCACTGTAAAGCAAATTACATGTTTGGGCTCTCTTACCTGCCAAGATAAGCAGCAGATGTTTGTGAACACAGTGTCTGTTTCAACTGATTTCACCTTCACTAACTATTTCACCTAATCACCTAAGATGCAGGTTAATTCCAGGTATAAACGGGGCTTTTGTGGGCTCTCCTCACAGGACTTGCATACTCTGACCCCTATTTCCCCCAGTCCTACACACCTGTACTTGTTATTCAACATATTTACTATAGTTACTTAGTTAGTGGTATAATAAATACTTACATAATATTTAATATAATAATATTAAACTGTCTATTCTATTTAACACCTGAAACATCTATGAGAATAATCTACACACATTAACCTGACCTGCATAATCAGTACCTTTACTTTTGATACCTTTGGTACATTTGGCAAGGCTTACGCAAATTCAAATTCATTCATTCACTTTTGATGGTAGGATTTTTACTTGGAATTAAGTAAACATTTTGTAATTACTATTCTTATTGTAATTTTTCCTCTGAAAAATGGCATACCTGTATTACACTTGCTACATGAGTACTGTCAATTGCAAGTGTTTGGGATTTTAAGTGCCACTATAATGAAAAGTCTGTCAGTTGCCAACAGACTTAAAGCCATTTTTCTCCTGGTACTAACAAAAATCTGTATTTAAATATCTCCCCTGGGAAAGGAAAAATGCATGCAGAGTGCATTGTAATCATAACTCTTATGGACTGCAGTGTGATAAAATCCTAGCCAGGTGGAAATGCACTCTACAGTTTTTCTTTAAGCAGTTATAGTGAATATTTATATATTAAAAATGGATCAAATGACCGTGTACACTTGAAACGGGTTGATAAACCCACAAAGAATTACCCCCCTCCTCTCAGCTCTATGGAGTCTTGTCAGCTCTTCATTTGGGTTCGTGTCCAGCAGCTTTACTGTTTTGGTTCAGTCTCACAGCTCTCATCAGCACCTTCTCCACCAGTGGACAGCTTTTTTTCTCAGCAAGAAAGCTCTCAAAAAAACCCACTGTATGCTACCTGCCCAGCAACAAACAGCAGACAGACAACGTTAGCTACTATCTGGTGAGCATAGTGGAACATTTAGCAGCTAAAGAGCCAGCTATTTCCCTCAGGAGTAGGGGAAAGCAAAGCTGAGCTAATAGGAGAGTGAATATTTGAGGTAACTCAAAATTAACGTTTGATTTATTTACTTATGATTTGGGCACTTAATGCCTTAATTAGATACAACAATGGAGAGACGACAGGAAACTAAGGAACGAGAGCTGCAATATAGGTCCTTGGGCCAGATTCACACTGTTGCAATTCATGGTCGGTGTCTTAACCTCCCTACTGCAAATGCATGCTAATGTAGCTCCATATCTGTTACCGAATGTTTGTTAATGTTTGTATATATAAGCTTGCTAATAATATGTCATTGTTGTTTTTACTGCTTGTTTCTTCTGCCCCAAAATGGCCAAATGATAGGCTAATGAAAATCAACCAAACAAGTTTAGAGGTTACCCAATTTTGCCTTTTCCTGCTACCTCAAGCAAGCCTAATGCTGACCTTCTCCACCTTCCTAAATTGCTTATTGAGATACATTTATAAGAAGGGGAGAATCAAGAGAACCAATATTAATTTATATCTTTTAATATTGGTATGAATATAAAGGTCTGGGATCAGATGTCATTATCCAGGAAAGGTATCCAGATACAGGTTATATATTTGTACCAGATGTAAACGGGATCATTGTCCTGTCTGGTCTGGCTCCTCCACCCGTCAGGTTCCTCCGGACTCTGGCCCGCTCCCTCCCGTTATACATGACTTTAGCCTGGATCTACTCAGTGGCCATGATCGTTAAGGGTGTCGTCGCAGAGAAAGAGGCCAGGCTTAAGGAGACAGTGAGGATCATGGGCCTGAGAAGTTGCATCTATTGGCTGAGCTGGGCAGTGTCTAGTGCGCTGCCGCTGGCCGTCAGTGCTATCCTACTTGCACTTATACTGAAGGTGAAAAAATTAATTTAACAATGATTCAAGGAGGACCCAACACTACTTTTGGAGAGTTTTGACCCTCAAACCTCTTGGACTAATGAGGCTTTTGTTTAAAATAATGAAGATGCTTATTTGAAGAGAAACCTCAGCACTAAAATGAGATCATTTTACTTGACGCCAACACAGTTGTTCTTGAATAGTTCATTTAGTCTGTGAAATTTAGAAGAGTTTCTATAGTGAACATTCTTACAGCTCCATGTAACAGTGTCCTCTATAAGGTTTTTAATCATAATTGCATCCATTACAATAGCACCATTATCCTAACAGTTCAAGTGCCTCTTTGAATTAGGCTCAGAAAGAACATCAGCATCATGGTGTAATGTGGGAGAATGGATGGATTCACAAGTAGCTCACTAAAATTAGAGAAGGGTCCTCCTTCAAACGGGCAGACTAAAAGAGTGACATATTTAATGACTTTCAGATTATGTAACAGAATATCAGTCAACCAGAAAATTGTTCAGGTGTGTCAGAAATATTGATATATTGATACACCAGATGTTTTAACCATTTCAGAACTCTTCTACTCTGCCTGTTATATTCTAAAAATCAGCTATAATAATCACTTTTTCTGAATTTCCTTGATAAATAATCTGCAACCAAACCTCAAACTTTTTTGGGACCCTTTTCACATAAATTGTCTTTCATCTGTTTTTTTTTCACAGTATGGCAAAGTACTGCAATACAGCGACCCCTCAGTAATCTTTGTCTTCCTGCTGGTGTTCTGCCTGGCCACCATCACTCAGTGCTTCTTCATTAGCGTCTTCTTCTCTAAGGCCAACTTAGCAGCGGCGTGTGGTGGCCTCATCTACTTTGTCCTCTACCTGCCGCACGTCCTTTGCTACGCCTGGAGGGATGTCATGGGTTTCCAGGCCAAGGTTGTTGTGGTAAGTCCATCTTTGGCATGGTTTTTAATATCTTCCCCTGCTTTTATCATACTCGAGGGCTATTTTGAGTGATGTTCCTTGGTTATGTTTTTGCCACTATAATCACACTTTGGCAATCACAGTCCTTTGTTCCGTATCCTTTTCCTTTTAAATCCAAACAGACACAAGCCTAATTTGATCGGTGCTGGTTCAATGAAATGAAGGGAATTTACTCCCAGTGTCAATAATATCTGGAAGAGATTTGCCTTTATCATACCTGCACAACTATCCTGATAATGAAGTGTGAAGTGTGGCTGCAAGATAAATTTATAGGTCCAGTGAAATTGCACATTGCTTTTTCATTTGTTCGGAAGTATTTTGGGCCAAGCACAAAGAACTTTGTTAAACCTGGACATACTCGAGTGACAGAAACATGAAACATTTACATAAAAGAAGACACTGGGCAGACACACAGCGAGGAAGTTGGGGATTTTCTCTTATCCTTTAAGGGATAAAGATAAATAGTACAGCATTGCTCAACTTTCAGTGTAGCCTTCCTGTGTGACCTTTATGGCAGTGCCTGTATCATTTGTCCTCAAGCTGTCCCTTCTGCAGACAAAGACACACAAAATCTTGAACCTTCATTTCCGTGCGTGCAGGTGCATCTTCTCAGAATTTAAATCAGGTCATGTTTTCTTGTTTGTCAATTTCAACAATGTAGTATCAGGTGTGGGTGGCCAAGGTAAATAGCCTCATGTTTCTTATTTATCAAATTGAAACAGTGGCAGTCAATAATATCTTACATTGGCACCTGACAGAAGTCACTTCTGCTTTCATATGTCATCCTTGGAGACTTTCTAAACCTTGCTTTTGCCAACAAGCAGTGCCAACATACCTGCTGAAATTGCTTGTCTTTGAGTAAGTCCTTTAAAGTGATGTCATTCTTACCCTTTAGGAAACTTTTCAGTCCTTTTCCTTTTACAGAATGCATGCAGGCTAGGTAGGCATTTTACATATAAAGCACTGCAAACCTTATTTAATCTCTACACAAAGTGCCATTGCTAGGTCCTCCCCTGGCGCTGAGATTTTTCTCCCCTGCTCCAACTAGATGGATAGCCCTCTAGCCCTCTAATTAGCATGAGCAATGTTCCTCTGACCAAACCACTATCCAGTTCATCCTTACACTTTATCAGAGATGTGTGTGTGTGTGTGTCTGTGTGTGTAGAGGTTTCTCTCTCTCCCAGCTCAGATAAAACTACAATGTGCCAAGGCATACAAATTCTCCCCCACATTGTCCTTGATAATGAAGTCTTTAATCGGAACAGAATTTTCAAAAGATCCCCTGAATTTATATGAACAGTTTTTGATTGCAGCTATGTGCCAAAGGAGAGCTACAGGCAGTGTAACAGAGGGACACTGTAAGACATGGCATAGTCATGATCCAGCTACTCACAGTATCTACTGTACTAGACTGTTTTCTCCTTTCTTTTACCTGTAGTTTTAAATTAGGTAGAGACAAGAGATCAATCTTTCAGCCCGAGGAAATTCAGTTCAAGAAAAATGGTAATTCCAGCAAAATCATTTAGCACATTCCAGGTTTTCCTTTGCTGAAATACATTAATTGATCTATGCTTTTTGCAACATCTGGCAGCTGACTTACAGCTTTTTGTCTGATGTTTTAATTACTTTTTATTTTATTATATTTAAAATTTTTGGGGGAAGTATTTTTGTATATTAGCACACATTTTGGATGCAGACAGGAAACAAGGGGAAAGAGAAGGGGAATGACATGCAACAAAGGTCCCTTTGTTGGTCTATAAATGGCAGAGAATTGTCACAAATGTCCGTACAATTTCCCAAAGCCTAAGATAATGTCTTCAAATTGCTTGTGTTTGTTTTGTCTGACTAACAGCTCAAAACCCAAAGATATTCCAGTTGCTAATCCTTCCTTTTAAGTCATTTTGAAAAATGACTTACTGAATTAATCGATCATCAAAATAACTGCCAATTTTCCGTCAACTGACCAATTTGTTGCTGGACTAATTACCACAGCTCTATCGACCTCTTTGTTTTTCAAAATCCAGTTCATTCTGGGAAACAGTTTTCAGACAGACAGTGTTTGTACTCTGACATTTTCATGTAAGACTTCAGACAGAAACACATTTGTCTCTGTTATGATCCTGTCCGTCATTCCTGCTCTATTTGTCAAAAATGTCCTGCAAAATGACTTCTGAGCTGGAACCCTGATTACTCTTCCTCTTAACAATGCTCTTTGTCTGCAGCCAGCCGAAAGGTGGCTCAATCTGCAGTGTTGACATGTGTTCAATAGAGGGGGCTTGTTTTGTCTGCCTCCCAACTCATGCCCTTTTCTCAAAAGCCAAAGGAGGTTCCTGTCGTTTTGTCAGCCGTTCATGCAGAGGTCAAGGATGGGTGCCCACTAGCCCTGCTGTCACCCCTCATCCACTGACTCACTGTTGATTGCTTGGCGGTAGACGGGCAGTGGAGGACAACACAGGAAGTTGCCAGAGGTGTTAGCAGCCGGGCTAGAGGTTTGGCGTCACTGCAGAGCTTTTCAGATTCTCTGCATGGTAATGTAGCGTCGGGTAGACAGTATCCACGATGGTTTGTCTCTGAAGCTTCAGCAAATGCTTCTGCCGGAGTGAAAATGCTGTGAGCAAATGAGGCATGATAAAACAGCTGGCAGGCAACATGGCAATGTAGAGTGATAGGCCATGGCAGATGATGTCTCATGGGCAAAGCATCATTTGCCATTTCCTACTGTATGAAAGATCCAACAAATCTTAGTTTTCAGCACACACATTTTAGTCTCCATCATCGTTTTTGTCTGAATTTAAAGTCATTAGAGATGTTCACAAAGGCAACACAGCAGTTACACCAGCTGATGCCTGTGTCGATATTGTTCCTCTGTCTGCTGCAACAGTTTATGGAGCAGTTGTTGGTGTGACCTTGGATAGTAGCTGTATTGTCTTAATTATTATTTTATGTTTTATTTAGATTAATTATTAAGATTAAGTCATCAGCTGAATTTAGTAACCGAAGGCTAGAACGTTTTATTAATTTTCCCAAATGTATCATGAAATATTCTTTAAGGCAATAACTTATTACTTTAAGGGTGTTTTGGGAACTACATGTATTCCATTTCTTGCTGAGAATTATACGAGAAAATGTACAATAATGTACGTTAAATTAGGAGCTAGTAAATGGTAAATGCACTGCACTTATGTAGTGCCTTTCTAGTCTTCCGACCACTCAAAGTGGTTTAGACTACATGCCACATTCACCCATTCATACAGTGAAGGCAAAGCCTCATCGCAAACAGATATTAACTCAGTCATACACATTCATACACTGATGCACAGCATCAAGAGCAATTTGGGGTTCAGTATCTTGCTTAAGGACACTGAAGGACACTGCTGGAGGAGTTAGCATCTGGTTAGCTTAGCTTAGCATAAAGACTGGAAACAGAGGGAAACAGCTAGTCTGACTGTTGACCTGTCCAAAGCTAACAGAATCTGTTCATGTTATGTGCCGGACCATTTTGTGCCACATATTTCTAGTCTTTATGCTAAGCTAAGATAACCAGCTGTTGGATCCAACTGCATATTTAGTGTACAGGCATGAGAGTGGTGTCAGTCTTCTAATCAAGGTACTTACTACTTGTTTAACTAATGGATGTTTTTTACTTCTTTACTTCTACATCTTTCATTCTCAGAGTTTATTGTCATGTGTGGCCTTTGGCTATGGCTGCGAGAACTTTTCCAAGTATGAGGAGCAAGGCATCGGTATCCAGTGGTACAACATTAACAAGAGTCCAGAAGAAGGAGAACGCTATACCTTCATCGTGTCCATCATCATGATGCTATTTGATGCTGCTTTTTACTGGGTGCTCACCTGGTACATTGAGAATGTCTTTCCAGGTATTAATTTTTAAGCAGATTAATTACTATTATGTTATTTGTACACTCTCTACCACTACCATAACTAGAAAAGATGGAAAGATACTCAAATTTGGTGTTTTATTTTAGTCCTCTTGGATGCAATCCACTCCCCTCAGTGTGAATAACTAGCTAATGCAGCTACTTTAAGAGGCTAGTCTTAATGCTTTTCTCATCGACCCTAATTAAAAGAAGACAGGATTCGTGCCAGGCTGTCAAGAGGAAACATACACTGTAAAGTACCATATTCCCTCGAGCCAAACTGTGAGTAATGTTCTGCACGCTTGATCCCAGGCCAGTATGGAATCCCTAAGCCATGGTACTTCCCTGTCACTGCATCCTATTGGTGTGGCACACCCTCAGTGACCGACGTTGACCCCGACTTGCTGAAGGAATCCACTGTGCATAACGGTAAACTGCCATAAAAACTTTCACTTCTCACTTGTGCTGTGTAACTGCAGTTATTATGTATTTGTCAGATTCTCAAGTTAATTGGGGAGTAAGTTAATTGTGATGGGTCGCAAACAAACATTAGCACCTTATTTGTCACATAGGGTGATAATAGAGCTTGGCGCATTGTGGTGGAAAAAAGGTGAGGAAAGATAGGAACTTGTTAATAAAACAATTTCCAATTAACATTCAGGGTTGGTTATTTTTGTTTTTTAGTGCTCAGCAGTGTTTTCTTTTCACTTTTTTTTAAAGGCCCAATCAGTATTTTTGACAACATTAATTAAAGAAATAATCACAAACTGCACATAATTAAAACTTTGAGAGGAAATGTAACATTTTGTGTTTGTCCACCATATTATCTAAGTGTAATTGTGTTGTTATCTTGTGTTTACATTTGGATCATGGTTTGTCTTTAAAAGATATTTCTACCTTTAAAAAAAGTTCTTTTCTATTCTCGTTTCTCTGTTTTATATGTGTGTGTTTATGAACGTATGTGTCTAAAGAGTACCTGGAGAAACCACCACCAAACATGAACGCAGGGGTCTCAATCCGCAATCTTGTTAAAATCTACAAGACTGGAAAGAAGCTCGCCGTGGACGGCCTGAGCATGGACTTCTACGAGAATCAGATCACATCTTTTCTTGGCCACAATGGAGCCGGAAAAACAACCACAATGTGAGTTGCATTATCTGTTTCGCCCATGCTTTGCCACTTGGCTCAATGTTTGTGTAATTTCACAGGGTGAAACTAATCTAACTTGTGCACAAGGCGGGTTGTACTGTAGCTACATTAATTCAGTGGTAGCTGTTGTCAAAGGGTGACATCTTCTGAGAGGACATTTATAACACGGAGTCAGCTGTTGTGTTGATAGTGGGACTTATCTAATTGATGTTTAAAAAATGTAGTGGAAAGGTCTGAACGGGGCTTAGGATGACAGGAAATAACTGAAACTCAGTGGCCCAGAAAGAATGAGAGCGAGCGAGCGAGAGAGAGAGAGAGCAACTGATGCAAGACTAAGGGCTGAAGGGAAGACATCCGCTCTGAGCAACTGTACCGAAACATAACAGAGCACAATAACAGAAAAGGACAGAGAAAGGACTCTGTCACACACTGAATTTCGGTGTGGATACATTTGCAGAGCACAGCATCTATCTATCTATCTATC